GGCATCTGGGTTAAAAAAGAGAGAGAGAAATATGTATAATTATGTGTCATGTTTTTTGCAAAGGTACAAAGAAAAACAAATGGAGCTGGTCACAGACTGGGAACAGATAAAAGACTTGGGATGAATGAGAGACATCTCTAAATGTTTTAATACCATTTTGACTTTTGAGACATGTTAACTTTCCATAAGTTCAAAACTAAAATACTTGTTAAGTCAAAAAGGAAAGGGTCAATTATTTTTGCTTATTTTTGTTTTTTATAAGAATTTATTTGTTTTTTTATAAGGATTTATTTATTTTTATTAGAAAAGCAGATATACAGAGAACAGAAGACACAGAGACGAAGATCTTCCATCTGTTGATTCACTCCCCAAGTGACCGCAATGGCTGGAGCTGAGCTAATCCAAAGCTAGGAACCTGGAGCTTCTTCTGAGTCTCACACACAGATGCAGGGTACCAAGGCATTGGGCCATCCTCAGATTCTTTCCTAGGCCACAAACTGGGAGCTGGATGGAAAGTGGGGCTGCCGGGATTAAAACTGGCATCCATATGGGATCCTGGTGCATGTAAGTTGAGTGCTTTAGCTGCTAAGCTACCGGGCCGGGTCTGCCCCCATTCTTTTTTTGCATCCTTCTTCTGTCAAAATCATTGCAAAATTGCAACGATTATAAGGAACTTTAGCAAAAAATAAAACTGCGTTAGTTTTACTCCTTTTTAAATTTTTCTGAAGACTTGAAAATGTCCAAAATAGAAAGTTGTGTAGGGGCTGGTGTGAGAATGTAGTAGTCTAAGATTCCTTGTGCAGCACCAGCATCCCACGTGGACGCCAGTTCATGTCGCAGCTGCTCCACTTCCCATCCAGCTTCCTGCTTATGACCTGGGAAAGCAGTGGAGGATGGCCCCAAAGTCTCGGGATCCTGCACCTGTGTGGGAGACCCAGAGTTGGATCCTGGCTTCAGATCAGTTCAGCCGTAGCCATTGCAGCCATCTGGGGAATGGAATAAATGGATGGAAGATATTTGTGTCTCTTCTCTCTGTAAATATGCCTTTTCAATCAAAGTAATAAATAAATCATTTTTGTTTTAGAAGGAAGATCTCTGTTCTAATAAATACATCTTCAGATATTTTGCAAACAATGAGGATGTTCTTTTTCTTGTCTGCCTGGGACAAGTCAAATGAGGGTGGTAGAATGGTATAAGGAGATGGCTAAGAGAAAATTTGTGAGGAAAGCAAGAGTGAGGAAAGATAGGCTCAGGTACATAGGGAGGAGCAAGAGGCACGGTCCTACCAAGCGTGGTGATTTAACCACGAGGGATCTGACAACCTCACATGTCTGCAGCTTAATACAGCACAAGCTCATTCTTGTTCAAGACACTGTTACTGCTTAAGAAAATTGACTTAAAAGCAGTCTGTCCAAAGACACAGCAAGAAAATAAAAGCCCCACCAAGGTCTGTTCCCAAAGACTGTGTTCTTTCTGCTATGGCACACTGTGTGGAGGGATGTGCCCAGGGCATCCTGACTTTATTGTCTATTTTTAAAGGTGTGTTACTTATTTAGGTATTGTTGAATAACAGAGTGAGGTATCTTCCATCCAGTGGTTCACTCCCTGAGTACCCTAAACAGCCAGGGCTAGGCCGGGCTAAAGGCAGGAACCAAGAGCCCCGTCAGGTCTCCCATGGGGGCTGGTAGGAACCCAAGAATGTGAGCCATCATCTCTGCCTCCTGGAGGCACATTGGCAAGAAAGGCAAACCAGGAGCAGAGCCAGGACTGAACCAAAGCACTCCAAGGTGGGACCCAAGCATCCCACACCACGCTTTAACAGCTGCACAGAGTGCCCATCCTGATCCTTAATTTCCTAAGCTGATGTTTTAATACATGTTAGTCGCTGTTGCTGTTACTCAGCATTCTTTATTCTGATGTTCTGTGGGGATATTTTTCACCTGGAACACTTGAAAAACAGATCAAAATACTTCATTGATAGTTAGCATCAAGAATAATTAACTGACATTTACGTTTATCTCAAAGTTTCCAGATTTATATTTTAGGTGTCCAGCCAAAAAAACATTTCAAAAGCACTAAGATTTTGGCTTCTGTCCATTCCATGGCAGAATAAATATGATAAATTTTTTTGTCTTGTTAGACATAAATGTCACAATAAAATAGTGTAGTATTTGGCATTTTTGATAAGTAGAGTTTTGGTGCTCATGTTATATACACAAATTACTATGTGAGATAGGTATGTAAAGTTGCTACAGTAACCACTTTACAGCAACTGGAGTCCACAGTACCATGCTGTAAACATGCACAGAATCTATTTTTAAAAATGAAAATACACAGACGAAAAGCCTGGAAGTAATGCACAAAATTAATTTGACAATAATAAATAGCAAGGCATGGCTATTCCTGGCCTCTTTCCTTCACCTGCTGAGGAGCTCGTATTTTGCTCTTTTCTACCTGGTCTGTTCGCTTCCTCTCAATTTGGGGCTTTGTTAGTAAGATCAGGGTAGTTACTAAAGCACACATGTGTAAGGCTGACGACTGTATATGCTGGTGGCTGAGTGTGTATATGCTGATGTGTGCGCATGTGCATGGTAGGAGGGCAGCGAGCAAAACGATGATGAAATGAACACAAGGGGCCCTGCGCAACAGCTTAGTGGCTAAACCCTCACCTTGCATCTGCTGGGATCTCAAAAGGACGTCAGTTTGTATCACGGCTGCTCCACTTACCTTCCAGCTCCCTGCTTGTGGCCTGGGAAAGCAGTCAAGGATGGCCCAAAGCTTAGGACCCTGCACCCACATGAGAGACCCAGAAACAGCTCTTGGCTCCTGGCTTCGAGATGGCTCAGCCCCAGCCATTGTGGCCAGCTGGGGAGTGAACCAGTGGATGGAATAGGTTACTCTCTTTATCTCCTTCTCTCTGTAGATCTGTCTTTCCAATAAAAATAAGTAAATAAATCTTTGAAAGAAGAAATAACATCAAGAACAAGAAGTAAGTGATGGAAGAAGTTAGACTGAACCAAGGGGCATAGAGGGGAGATGCATGAGAGTTTGTGGGAGAACGTTAGTGAAGACTATGAGGAGTAGCATTTAAGTCACGTATGTGGGCCTGGGTTGATTTGTTTTGTGTGTGATGTAAGCTCACTGAAGACAGAGACCATAGTATCCCCTCTTAGTAAAGTGTTGTCATGGCCATGAACAACACAGGACTTGCGTTAGACACACTGAGTGTGCGTCTTCACTGCACTACCCCTCAAGCAGTTTCACGTGATTGTTGTTTAACCCCAGAAACGTCATGTGTAAAACTGAAATAGTAATACCTATGAGGCTCCTCCAGAAAGTTTCTGGAAAGGAAATTAAAATATGTGTTTACTTTGGTACAAAAAATTTGGAAATCCATTCATATGAGAGGTCTTCAAAAAGTCCATGGAAATGCATGTTCTGAAAAAAGCTAGGCATGGATTTTGAAATTTTTACACAGAAATCAAACTATCTTTTCATTCTGCTTTTCCGTAAACTGAAATTCTCCCAGGTGTCTCTCAAGGTAGTTGTGGACATTTGGTGACTAGATATGTGAAAGAGCTTAGCACAATAACTGGGAAATCCAGCTAGTCCACCAGTAATACTACTGCAATGCACACATGTGCTGTATTAGTTGGATCCTAATCCATGCATCACAGGACATGCTCAAACCTTTGCCAAACAAATCATGGCTAAGATGAGACAAGAAAACCATTGAGAGGAATCCAGGAACTGCATGCTTGGTTAATTAGACTTTTATTTTCCTCTGTGATCTTAAGATTTCGAGTCCTGGTGTTTTCATGAAGACTGGGGCTTGTTTCCAGCCCCAAATCGGCCTTTCTACAGGTGGGAAGAGGGTGGGAAGTGGGTGGGAAGATGGGGAGAGGTGGGACAAAGGAGCATTGTGGATCAGCACTTGTGCTGCTCTGAGAATCCTGAGCCTGCTCGGGGAACTCCAGCGCAATGCCACTTCCTTTGCCCACTTCCCCTCCCCTTGTCACGTGGTCCTCTATGCTGGTAATGGGGATTCCCAGTGACCAACCAGCACCCTAACAGGGTCCCTGAGACTTAGAGTTCCTCTTAAGCACCCTGAGAGCTGGGGACTCAAACACCATCTCCTGCCTGGAACATTTTCTATTCCTCCACCTCAAAATTAGGTCTCTCACGCCGTGGTCTGAAGTAACACCGCGCTACTTTTGCCTTAGCTTTACAGCGCTTCCTCTTGTAAGCAGCAAAGTCTCAGAGAGCAAAGTCTGGGTCTACTCCCTGTTTGATCAGTACAATGTACCACGCAGAGTCACCCACATAATGACTAGCGCGCTGAATTCCACTGAAGCCGATCCCAGGGCTGCGGCTTGCAGCGAGCCCTGGAACCAAATGTTACCCTAGACCAGCTGCTACTCTGTTCCGAGTTTTAAGTTAGACATTTCTGCTTCCTATGAGCAGGCAGTCGCAGGGCAATTAAGAGCCTAAAGCTCACTATGTCAGGGACATTGAACAGAGCTCCCAGCAGTAGATTTCAAACAGCCTGCAGCAATCCAAAAGAAAAGCTTCACTTAGATAACATATATTTACCAACTTTTTAACATCAAACTTTTTCTCTCCATAATTTAAAGTTCATTTTTCACACGCTTGATTATTACATAGAAGCCTGGTGACAATGAGGTACCTGTAACAGCTGATAATAATCAGAAAGAATTCTGTCCCTGTGGACAGTTACCTTAAACTTTGTCCTAAAGCCAGATTTATGTGGTTGTAAGAATGTCTATCTGAATCAGCCAATGTTTTCATTTTCCAGGATCATTACCACACAGAGTTCCTGACTTTAAAAAACAAGAAAATTTTCTGTTATTCTGAGTTGAACTGAATTTAAGTGAAATGCCATCTTGGGAAAAGGCGGCCAATTCAGTAACTTGTTTGTCCCACCTGATATGGGGGGGAAATTGCCAGCTCAACTTCTTCAGTCTCTTTGCAGGCCTATTTCATTTCTGGTTGAAGAACGTAAGCGTGTCTCCCGATTTCAGGTGGTTTTTCACAAATGCCGTTACTTTCCTGAACCCCTCTGCCAGCCCTTCGCCAGTGACCGCACAGCAGGGCTGCACGTACCAGTTCCGGTCACTGCACAGCTTCTTCACCTTGAACATCCTCGTGATGTCCTCGGCACTCAGCGCTCCAGGCACGTCCTGTTTGTTGGCTAACAGGACAACAGGCACATGTTTAATGTGTTCATTCTTCAGAATGCGCTCAAACTCTCTCCGGGACTTGTCCAGGCGCCGTTTGTCCGAGCTGTCCACCACGTACACCAGCCCATCGGAGTTCTCACAGAAGTCACTCCAGGTGCTTCTCATCTTCTCCTGTCCTCCAACGTCCCAGACTGTCAACGAGAAGCTCTTCTCCAATTCGATCATCTCCACGTTAAAACCTATGGTTGGGATGGTGATGATGTCGTTAGCAAACTTCAGTTTGTAAAGAAGAGTGGACTTCCCAGCAGAGTCTAGTCCCAGAAGCAGAATCTGGGCGTGCTTGACCTTCGGGTTCTTAGAATTCAGCAAACCCATTTTGTTTGACTTTCTAGAAACAGCGTTTCTTTTAGTGTGGGACAATTAGTTGTTTCCAAATGTCCCGTGAAAATGCTTAGGAGGAAAGAAGACAGCAAAAATGCTTCATGCTAGGTTTCAGGAACAGGATCCTGCCTTATTTATATTGTAGCTTATCAACCTGATTATGGGCAAATAGAAGTTTATTTGTAGTTCCAGCCAATCCGGAGGAATCCATGCTGTGAGTAAGCAGCCACTGTCATAGTAGCTCAAAGGGGAAATTCTTTATGCGTGAGTGGGTGGGGCGTGGCCTGCCCAGGTGATGCTGCAGGTCTGTTCCTTTCCAGGTGAGGAGCAATTGGGAAGAAGAAAGTGAAGGTTACAGAGGAGCACAAGGACGAGACTTGGCAGCAAAAAATAAAACAGCCTTTTTGCTTTAACCAAGCCTCTCACTTAAAACTTTCTGTGGAACTTTTTTTGTAGAAGCCCTCTGGTTATTTGACTATCTTATCCCACTTGTAAATAAGTAACCAGGTTTCTTCTACTGTGAAGAAAGCATTTATCTCCACTCCCTCCCTAAGTTCTTTAGTACTTTCCCTTGTCCAAGTTACTCAGGGAGAAACTTCAAACAGCCCGAGGGTGTCTGAACCTTACTCCCACAATCAGATGATCCTTTCTTTAAGCTTCTAGGAAGAGAGTTCCAACTAATCATAAAAAGTTTTACAGGAAGACGTTAGTAACACAAACACAATTTTGGAGCAAGCAGTCTGGTTACAGAAGTTACAAATCTTTGACTCCTTAAGACCCCCTCAAATGGTGAGCATAATATAGGAGGACACGATCCGGCCCAGGGTGTTGGTAACAGGAGGCAGAGAGAGGCATGAAATAAGGCAACAAACACAGAGAGGATTAAAGTCTAAACAGGGAATCACTCAAGATAAATATGTTCTGTTATACAAAAAAACACGTAGCTGTTTCAGATCTGTGTTGTAAATACAAAGGCTCCTTTCTCAAGCATAAGGACTGTTGCTGAAAAGTTGCTTCTAAACACACTTTTGTAAAATTTCTCCATCATTTGGTGCTTACTTAGAGGAGCAATTGCACAGGGACACTTTTGGCTACTAGAAAATATATTACTGTAGTGGACATTGTGGCACAGTGGGTCACGCTTGGGACACTGCATGTGGCAGAAGTCTGCACTTCTCCACTTCCAAACCACTCGATGTCATCGCAGGATCCCTGATGTGGAACATTTTCTGAGGGTTCTGCTCAAGTAGTTTTGGTAGTTCTGACATGCTGCTCATTTCTCAGATCTGAAGATGAGGAAATCCTTCCAAGTCCATTGGCTAACATAGTCGATCTTAGATCCTCCATTTGCCCAGAAATTTGCTGTCAAGCTTCACTGGGGTAGTTAACGAACTTATTCTGCCCTCCTTTCTCTGCTATGGTACTGGAAGTCCTCCGCAGGCTCCAAAGGACTGCCAAATCCTCCATGTGCATCTAGGTATGCTGTCCACTGCTCCATCGTCAGGAACTGAGAAGGCCCATTTCTGACACATGGACTCTATTGTTAGATCACAGGTCCAGCCACTCTCCCCATGATTGAAGTTCTGAGTCCAGCTGTTTAGCTGGGGGGACCCTCAAAGAAATCTCGCCTACTGTGTGAACCACCAAGTGCTGATGCCAAGGATAGCATAAAAATAGGTTACACTTACATGTAGATGACTTCATTCAGGGAAAGGTAAAAGATACATACACAGATCATCATATTGCTTAGTCAAAAATGCTAATGCTGTGAGAAAAGTAAAACCAAAGCATTCTGGAAATGCACACATTTGGGAGGATGGAGAGCATTCGTCTTCCTGAAGTTCAGTATTGAACTAATATTGTAGAGATCAATGCAGAATTGGGGGTTTATGGAACTGGGTGGTCTGTATGAGCAAGGTCTCAGAATGAAAAAACACAGGATGCATGTGGAAAACCAACAGGATATGCAGACACATCCCTCTTCCTATAAAGGTGTTTAATGATCACAAAGAAACCCTCAAATAAATCTGGATTGTGGGACATGGTACAAGACAACGGATCTGAACTCTTCCTCAGCATATGTCCATATCTTGAAATACAGAAGAAAAAAGCAGCAGAAGGAAGAATATTCTAAATTAACAGAGACATGATCCCTAAATATACTTTGGGATATTTAATTGGACCCTGTGTTTTAAATATTAATTATAAAAAGAATCATGAAAATCTGGGAGATTTGATTATGAAGTGTATAGTAGATGAATTTATTTATTTATCAACTATAAAATGTCTTAAATGCAAAAGAATAGTATTGTTATTAAGAGATTGTCCTTAATCTAAGGATTTACATGCTAAAATACGTAGGAATGGAGTGGGAATTTGGCCTAGCAGTGAAGACGCCGAAGTAGGACATTCACAGGCCATGTCGGAGTGCCTGGCTTCCCCACTGCCTTACTGATGCCTTCTGCCATAGGTGGGAGACACCCGATGGGCTCCTCACCCCTAACTTCCACCTGGTCCAGCCTCAGCCACTGGGAGAACTTGGGGGTTAAACCAGCAGGAAGGAGCTCATCTGTCTCTCTCTTTGTCCATTTTAATCTCATATAAACAATAATTTAGAAATTTCATACTCCTAATATTGAAGAAAACAAATAAAAAATTAAGTCTTCGGCAATGATATCAACAAGTTAATTTCAGTTAAATTAGCAAATGGGACAAGAAGAGCAATAAGTGAAAGCATTGCAATAGGTATTTAGTGGTAGGGCCAGATGAGGGGATTGGGCACTCATAAACTTTCTTGTAGGTTTGAAAATGTTTCAAATAACATGTTGGGAGAAAACAGCATACAACTGAAGCAAGCTAATCAAATTAGCCTGCAGTCCATAGTAATGCAGAGAAAGAACTCAGCTTACATACATGGGAAGACTACTCAAAAAGTCAATTTAGACTGAATGTCTACAGTACCAGGTAAGCTCCTCCCTGCTTCCCCTGTTTTTAATCAACTGCTTTAAAAAAAAAATAAAAGCTGAACATTCATTTTACATTAAAAATCAATGACATATTCTTTATGTGATCCATTTTTTGGTACTGGAGGCATTTGATTAATTTATGAGCATCACCACACATATGTGCCTTCCCCATTTCCCATAGGAACAATTGCACCTTGTTTTCATGAGAGCCGAACAAGGGAGGGGCTAAATCCTGGACGGCCATTATATCCAAATGAAGATATGTCTCTGCCCTGCAAGGTGGGGTTAAGTAATTTCTCTCCTCATGTTAGTTTTTAATGAGTCTACAAATGGTTCAACATCCTTTCCTCCTGTCGGCAGTCATCTGCAGGTACTGTTCTGGTCAGACCTAAGGATGCTGCTGTTGCAGGGAACAATTTAGCCCCCAAATCTACAGCACCGGCCCCTCAGTTATCTTTGGCCCTGGAGAATTCTTAAAAATTTTTAAAAATACTCTGGACACAATTTTGCTATTTCAGAGGAGGAAACTTTTATTATAAATGGTTGTAAACATTTAAATTATCCTTGAGAGAGTAAAGCCTAATGTGATCAATGAAGCGTACTCTTTGTGTATCCACTTGCATATGTCATTTTTACCTGCTTTACATTCGTGCACTCACCAAACCTGAGTTGAGAATGTGCTATGTCTCAGTGCTAGCCAAGGGTGATGGACACGTCATCCAGTCTCCATCTTCAAGGAGCTGAGGTCTAACGGAGGGCATGGGCTGCCACAGGGTGTGACCACTGCTGTTACTAGGGTGACAGCCCTTGAGAGCGCCGAAGACTTCAACAGGGACAGCAAAGCGCCTTGTGTGTCCAGGAGCTGGAAGCAGTCGAGAAGCAGGACTCAGGAGGAGTAAGCGTCAAGGGGGCTGCAGCCCTGCTTCTGGCAAACGTGGCTCAGCGCCAGGTGCTCAACTCCGGGCAGTTTTGAAGATGGAAGGAGTGGTGATGAGGATGCCAAAAGCCATGTGTGGGCAGAACATCCTTGGGCACACTGGCTGTACAGCCCCTGGTGCAGGCCGTGTGACGCTCACCTGGTATCCTAAGAGGACGTCGAGCTAGGGGCAGGAGGAAGGGTTAGCGAGCTGGGTCTAAGCATCTGCTTCTCGGACATGCACGACACCCTCAACCGCTTTTTCTTCTTTTCTATTTGGTTAGGTTAAAACACTAAAATGCTAAGGTACTGTTTGTTTGTTTAAGTCGTGGGCCTTTATTCTACATTGCAGCATAGGTAAACATGTTTTTTTTACTTTACAAATTGGGTTTGGGTTTTCTTTTGGTTTATGATTTCCAGTAACACTGAGCCTGTAGAGATTGTTTTTTGAGGGCTACTAAGTTCTTCCTCACTAGCCCCTGCTGGCCCTGTCCCTGGCTTCAAATCCTGAGGTTGTGGGGGGATATTTGTGTCAATATTCTTATGACCATTGGCTGCTATTAAGGTAAAATAATGCTGCCCAAATCTGGGACCCAACTAGAGAGAAACAAAATGAAAGTTTAGATCAATCTGAGTTTCAAAGTTCCATCCTGCAGTGTTAATAGTTGCTAATATGATCACAATGGAAAAGTTAATGTTCTGCCACCTTAATGTATTCCATTTACATTGCAAAAAGTATGTAAGCAAAAGCAGCTATTTGAAATGAAAAGTAGAACTCATGTAAAGAACAAAATTTTGTTCTGTTTTTTCTTTTCTTTCTCTTATTAAACCCACACTGCCACATTACTGACCTTTCCCCTTACTCTTTTCCATCTTATCCCAAGATAAGCATGAAAGCAAAATAATGACCACAAAAAAAAGATGAACGTGACTCATTTCTCACTTCCATAAAGGATATAGCAAAGTTAAACACTTCTGTAAATAATTATCCAGGTACTAATATGCCAAGACTGACAGTTTTTGATAAGAAATTTCAAAGGGAGATTTTTTCAATAAGCAGAGATAAAGGGATGGAAAGGTGAATGAGAGGGAAAAAGGCTCTTAGATTTAAAGGGAAAGTGACACAGTAAGTCTGGCCACCTGGGAACTGGGTCAGCTCTCCTGGATTCCTCAGGCTCCGTCTCACTGCGTCCGGACCTCAGAGTGGCTTTTCCAGGAGTATCAGTGAAGGGTCAGGTGAGACAGCATCATGTCTCATCAGGGATTCTGCAATTGCACTTCTCTT